ACTTAGCTAGGCTTCTGTGCTTTCCTTGTTTGGCTTCCAAGCTTTTTTTTTGAGAACAGCCCAAGAAAAGCGCTTGACAACTAGCCGAAGAGAGTAGGCGTGTTTTCTCTGTGAGGCCCAGGCTACACGGACTCCGGGGTCCCGTGAAAGCTTAGGGTTTGGGATCCTTCGTTATTGATTTCGGTGCCAGCTTCCTGCTTTAAGGCTCCCCTGCTGCCCCCAAGCCCCAGAACCCTAAGCTACTCTACACTGCAGCCCGCAAGTATTGAGAGTTTTCCTTTTGGGTGTTCATGTTTTAGGCCCGAAAGAGGCCCAAGTCCTTCATAGGATCACCTCCCTGATCTCCTCTCCCTAATCCTCCGTAATGTGTCCAAACTTTTCCTGCAAGCTGCCGGGAGGAGTCCAGCCGTTGGGACCCTACCCGCATAACTCTGCCCAGAGAGCCCGAAGCCCCTTCCTCAAACCCTAAACCCTAAACCCTAAACCCTAAACCCTAAACCCGAAATTCTTGTTAGAGCGGAAGTTGGGCTCCCCGGATCCCTAAAACCTAAACCTTATAATTCCTTAGTTCCTGAGCCCCCTTATTTCATTCACTCCTTCCCTGAATTTTCTGAATTCCTTGGTTCCTCAGTTCCTGAATTCCTGAAATCCTGAATCTTGCGATGTTCCCCCTTATACTAAGAGTCCTTAATCGGGATTACAGTACCCCTGCCCTATACAGTCCCCATTAAGGATTGCTAGCATAAGGGGGGAACAACCCTAAACCCTAAACCCTTAACCCCAAACCCTAAACCCTGAACCCTATTCCTGAACCACTTAATTCCCTAGGGCGAGTAAGGGGGCGTTCTTCGGCTCCCGGGGTGTTGAGGTTGGCGGCCCCCTCGAGATGCACCGCGCTGAGAGGAGGCCTGCTGTGACCAGGGGACTCCAACCACTTGGGGTTTAGGGTTTGGGGTTTAGGGTTTAGGGTTTAGGGTTTAGGGTTTAAACACAAACGGAATACGACCTTGCTGGCATTTCAGGTTTAGAGTTCTCGTGAAAGGCAGCATTTCAATGCTTGTCCCTGGGGCGGGGGTGGGGGGGGGGGGGGTGGTCTCGTTGAATTGGATTGCGACTAGACTCCTATTTGGTATGATCAGACGATGCTGAAGTAAGCAGCTAAGATTCCAAAATCTCTTTGACCTACGTAACTTTGCCGGATACATTCCCCAAATGTTTTGCTGTTTGTTAATTCGCACTAAAACTTCAATCAGTGTATGTTTACATGAAACTATAGTATACACCAGAACGATGCGCACTTATACGCATCAGTTATATCACAAAAATGAAATCACAATAAAAACCGTCGGGCGTATACGTGCCCCAATAGCTGTCCGTCAGAAAATAACTAGAGGCAACGTGGTTTTGCTTCACCAAGGACGGGTTTGTGCAAATTCGGTGGTGTGCAAAAAAACTAATTTGTGTCCAGAATGCTGGCGAGAATTAGTCAGAAAACGCTGCCACGCGAGCAGGACTGCTCCGGTAGCTGTCCTTCATTTGCCCGAGGCGCAGCACGTGCACAAAGAAGCAAAACGAATGCCAAAATACCAAAGCAACCTAAAAACTACAACGAAGCAATCTTCCACGAGCTCTGGCAACATTAGTGGGCACGAGGCTGTCCAATAGCTGCGCTTCATTTGCGAACGGCGCCGCGACTGTGGGAGGCCGCATTTCTGCTACTTTTCCTCCCACGACATCTCATGCTTGTTCGAACAAACAGGAAGAACTGGAAACCATGAAAAAACCAGGAAAAACAAAAGCGATCAACAAAAACAGGTGGGATCTTTCCATCACAGGGCGAAATGCATGAATGTGTTCTTGTTTTTCTGCGGGGGGGGGGGGGGGGGGTCCAGTCCTTTCCTGTCGTCGAGGCTGTCTCATGCGTCACTAGCGGGACAGCTACAGTTACAACTATCTCGAAGTTCATCGCGGGCACTTACAAGCTCTACCTTTTAATACACCGGAACCTTTGACAATCCCCGAACCCTGGAACTTCAATTAGCATGTAGGTTCTAAGGCCTTAAACCCTAAACCTCTCAACCGCAGATCCCTGCAATGCCCACTTCGGACGAGGAGAAGCAATCGCCATCACCACCGGACACTGCAGGCATTTCCAGGCCGACCAGTACCCGGGGAGGACCTTGGGAGAAGATTATATATGTATATATATATATATATATACATATTCTGTCCATATATATATATATATATATTATACATATATATATATATATATATAGAATATGTGCATGTACATGTGTTTTGTACGCTTTCCCTCATGAGGTAGAAAAGGATCATGTTTACGATTATGTTTCGAAGGGTTTCAGGGGCCAACTTAGGTACGGAATCCCCAACCGCCGAAGCTTCGACCCCAAAGGAAGGGTTGGATTTAGACGCGTTTGGGTTTTGGGTTTTGGGTTTAGGTTCCGGGGTTAGGGTTTAGAGTTCAGGGGTTTAGGGTGGTTGCGGCTTCGGGTCTAGGGCTGTTTCTATGCTACTTGAGAAGGTTCATGGGTCGGTACAACACCTAAACCCCAGAAGTGTGAGTGTTGGCGTGCGGGCGCGCAAGCGTGCGGGAGGGCTGCAAGGCGGCCATCCTGGGCTTGGGCTTCGGAACCCCGACCTCCTCCAGTAGCCACCCACCCCCCCACCCCCCCACTTTCAGGCTGATTCCACTTAAAACCCTAAACCCCAAACCCTAAACCCTAAACCCTCAACTGATTAGGGCTTTTGGGGATTTAGGGCCGCTCCGGGGGTCCTTGCAGGCTCCGCGACTGAGATTGCAGCTCCCGCGGCGAGGTGCCAAGTGCCGGCATCCTTCGTCTTCTGGCTCTTCACTTTGTTGGGGAGTAGGTAACCTTAAACCTTCTTGGGGCAAGATAATCCCCTTATAATCTCAAAGGTTAACCTGGAACATTTTTGGGGCAAAATAATCCCCTTATAATCCCAAAGGTTAGCCTTAGTTCCCCCAGGTTACTGGACAACTAGGCTCTTCACTTTGTTGGGGAGTCAAAGCCCCCGAGCCTCCCTCAGCCCTTCGAAACCTCAAGAAACCCTCGGAGACTCTTAAACCCTGTAGACCCTGTGCTATAGTCGGAGGAATTACGACTAGTAGTCCCTTATGGCCCCTTTGGAACTCTACTATAATCCCCCAAAAAAACACTATTCTAATTCTCAAGGCCCCGATATTACCCAGCAGCCCTCCCAACAGCCTTTTAACATAGACCCCCCAAATAGTCTATTTTGGACCCCCAGAGGGTGCCCCTAATTTCGGCAACCCCTATACTACCCAACAGCCCTTAGTATCCCAGCTTGGGCTCCAGGATGTACGAAGGATTATCAGGGACGAAGACCTCCTAGGAAGGCTTTAGGGCTTATGGGGGTTTATGGGGTTTTATGGGGTTTATGGTGTTTATTGTGTTTATAGGGTTTTTGGGTTTATAGGGTTTATAGGGTTTATAGGGTTTATAGGGTTTATAGGGTTTATAGGGTTTATAGGGTTTACAGGGTTTAGGGTTCCTGGCCCTTTCAGGGCCCAAGAGCCTTAGGGTAGTAGACCGACACAGGGGTCACAGGGGTTTTTCATGAGGGGGGGGGGGGGGGGGGGGGGGGCGTGGGGTGCGCCTGTCCCTGCTTAGAGCGGCGAAGCTTGGAAGGGACCCGAACAATCCACTGCCTGGATGGTTTGGGGCTTGTCGTTTCGGGCTTATAGGGTGTAGGGCGCTTTTTCGGGTTTAGGGTTTAGGGTCCCCTGCATGGGCTGGTGATGTGCCATGTCATCACTCCGCTACATGGCCCCGACCATTAAATCGCCTGCAAATTATTGGATTGGTTAAGCTCAGGTCCGGGGGAGTTTCGGGGAGGAGGGAGGAAAGTGCAAGGGCTCACGTGCTTCACAAAACTCACAACGTCTTCAGGGGCGTTGACGAAGCTCTAAACCTGAACTGACCGGGCTTTCGAGTGTCTCGCGGTAATCCCTAACCCTAGCTACACCTTGAAGTTAAGGCTTTTCGAGTTAAAGCCGGAAGTTTCGGCTTCTGTGGGGGTTGTCCGGCAGAGTGCTTTAGGGCTTGAGTTGAGGGTTTCGCAACCCCTTGTCCGAGCCTCAGCTCAACGCATCATGTGGGCCTCGTTAACTTGCGGTTTAGGGTTGAGAGTGCTTAGCAATCGAGCTGGTTAGAGTGCGCATGTCTTGCTAGTTGCCGTTTAAAGAAGCATGCACGTGGGAGTAGAAGGGGATGTCCGACCCTAAGCCCCAAAACCTTCGTTTATGTTTGGGCTCTCTAGAGCCCTGCAGGGCCCGCCGCACACTTCTCCACGAGCGCTGGGCCCTCCGACCAGGCTGGGCCCTGGTGGCTTGGGGCTTAGGGGTCCCGGGTTATTGGGTGCCTTTCTCTGGGGGTTAAGAACATGTTTTTGCTTAATGTTGCACTGGCTTTAATGGGTAGCCCCCGCCCCCCCCCCCGCTCCCCAAAAGAAAACAAAAAGAGAGAAACAAAACTGGGCCCTCTGTGAAGAAATGCCCGCCCATCACGGCCCCCCGCCCCGCTGGGCATGTGTACTATAGAGGGTGACGCAACAAATTTACGAAGGTGAGCCGGACTGGCCGGTGGACTACCTATCGCAAAATTTGTTCGGGGCCTCGTTTCGTAATGAAGTTCAATATGGCTTTAGATGGAAGGCCCTCAGGGCCACAAGCCTTACTGCTTAAGTTCTTAAGCCTAAACACAAACCCTTAAAAAAGCAACCATCCGGAAAAATGACTTGTGATGATCGCGGGTAACACCAACAAACTGAGTTCGCAGAATAGTGGTTGTAGACCCCCCACAAAACACTAAAGCCAGTGCGACATTAATCCGAGGCACATATCCGTCATGCTGTGCAAGTATGCAAGAAGAAAATGGTTTATGTCGGTATTGTTAAGGATAGGGAAGATTAGTAAGTGTAGCTCTGCCTGTATCATGTTGGAAGATACCGCTCCATATGTTGTGTCCCGCGAAGTCCAACCCCAAACGTGTCGGCTCTTATTTTGAGCTGCGGTTCCCCGTTTTTGTTGACTTTTTGAGGAAGGGCCTTCGGTAACCCTAAACCCTAAACCCCAAACCCCAAACCCTGAACCCAAAACCCCTTCTGGGAGGAGCGGATAGCCGCCCTTGAGAAGGAGGTTGGAGAACTCCGGCAGAAGCTCGCAGAGGTGCGGGCGCCTCTTTGTAGAGAAATCCTCTGTCATAGTGGGGTTACATTTTACATTTCCAAGGGTACTAAAACTCAATAAGGGCAAGACATTTAATTTTTTTAATGCTATCCCAACCATGAACTGGTAATGGCAAAAGACTCGAAAACACCAATCACATCAATAAGTGAGAGGTACCTAAACCCTCAACCTTAACTTGTTCTCCGCCGACGCAGAAGTTTCTTCCAACCCACAGTTTTTGCCCGCCCAGCTTTTTGTCACCTCTCCTGTTTCTAAACCCTAAACCCCCCCCCCCTGCCTCTCCCGCAAGCTCCTCTCCCTCTTTGTGTTCCGCCCATCTCCCCTCAGGTCTTCCTAACCCTAAACCCTAAACCGTGAAGCCCGCCTTTCGAAACCCCCCCCCCTTCTGCACGCCTCCCGGTCTCTTTTGTTGGGCCCCTTTCGGCCGCGTTCGAGGAAAAATCCACAGTGTAGCCGGGAGACCCTAATCTAGTGAACATTTTGTGTGTGTCACAGGTCTCCCTCATATGCGCAACTCTCAACCCTAAGAGGTGTGATCAAGGGTTCTAGATGTCATCGCCCTCAAAGGCGGGGGTGTGCCTCGAAAAGCCGGTAGCACCCACCCGCGGGCTTAGGGTTACGGTAAGGTTTAGGGCTGAAGTAAGAGGGGTAGGTGAAGGTGGTAGCTCGTCGCACCGGATCCCAGAATTCCGGTCCTAGTTCTCTACATGGCCAGATCCCACATGAGATGAGGGTACCTTGTGGGGAAGTACCCCGAAGGGCCGCATTGCAGCAGCGCGCCCAAAAAGGATTTCGCTTTTCATGACTGGAGGTGGAGCGGCTCGCCAAGAGGAGCGCCGCCTGCTGGGGTTGCAGGGTTTTTTTAGGCTTCCAGCCTGCCCTACACCTGAGGGGCAGGGTTTCGGGTTGAGAGGGTTATAGGGTTAAAGGGCTTAGGGTCATAGGGTTGCAGGGTTGTAGGGTTTGGGATTTCAAGGAAGCCCCAAAACCTGGAAATCTCTCTCCTGGTCTGCCGGTTCATGCTGGCTACCGGATTTAGTTTGAGGGTTTAAAAATTTTTGATTAGGGATGGAGCCTTCTCAGATTGGGATCGAGGGTTTAGGTTTGTGTGTGGTTTGGTTGGGCGGGCTGAGGGTTGAGGTGTTACGGGTTTTGGGTTCAGGGCTTGAAGGGTTTAGGGCTTCCACGGGCCCTTCTTCGCCCACTCTTCCCGCCCCAGTCGGAGAGGAAAGGGTTCATGGCCGTCATGATGGAGTACGGCGCCCCATTTGCCCTTTGGTGCGCCCCGCAGTCCCTCATTGGTTTCCCGAAGCCCTGAAAGGAGAGGCTTTTCCCTGCAGCGACTCCCCTGTAGCTTCCCCAAAACCCGAAAAAACCTTAAACCCTAAACCCTAAACCCTGCTCCAAGGATGTTGGCAACTTGTAGGTTCCCGGCTTGCTAGGGAGGGGGGGGGGGGGGGGGGGGTGGCGTCCTTGGGGGTTTTGAGGGCTTGAATGGGGTTCACGGGTTTAGGGTTTAGGGTTTAGGGTTTAGGTGATTTTGAGGGTTTGGGGATTCTTTTGGGGCTTTTTCCCAAGGCTTTTGTAAGGGCTTCATAGCGGCCCCGAGACCCCCTTCACTTGGCGACAAGGAAAGAATTTGAGTTCGTTCAAGTATTTTAAAGGGTTTACGGACTTAGGCTTGCGCATCTACCCTCAACCCTGCAGACATACCGTAAAGTTTGTAGCATTAGGGTTTGGGCTTTGCTTAGGCTTACAAGGCACACCAACCTAAGGCTTCATGCTGCGAAGCGCTCTGCCCGCGATACTTTGAGGGTTTGGGGCTGAAGGCTTAGGGTTAGGGTATATATATATATATATATGTATATTACTGTTGGTTAGTAGGGAATGGGGGAATGAGGTCCTAATTCCCTCATTCCTTGCTTTACCAACAGCAAGACAATGGTTTTAGGGTATGGGTATATGGTATAATGGGTTAAGAGCTTGCGGGCAGCCGCGAGCCATATTAAAGGTATACCGGGAGGGGCCTCCAAAAGCACGCCCTTCAGTCCTCCTACCCAAAAGTCCCGTTATGAGTACCCCCCCCCCCTCAAAATAGATCGCCAACCATGGACATTGCTGATGTTAGGGTTTGGAGTATTTATTCATGGGAGGCGTTCACTGCGGGTTCAAGACCTCCTTAGTCGTGCGGAGAACCGCACTGAAAGGTACGCCTTCTGCTGGTCTGGGAGCCTTGTGTCGCTGTACTTCTTGCTCGAGTACGAGGCATCAGCCGCCAGCCCCCCCAAAAATCCAGGAATCCGAATCCAATCCCCAAGCCTCTTTCTGGCCTAACATCCTGAGCTTGAGAGAGCACCACACTGCAGGGGTAGGGGGGAGTGTGCCGCCCCATGTCGCGGTGCGTGTTTTTTTTAGGGGATGTTTCTCCGGGGGGGGGGGGGGGGGGGGGGGGGGGGGGGGGGGGGGGGGGGAGGGGGGCGCCACAGAACTGGGCCTCTGAGATTCCTTCCCCTATACCTTTTCTAAGCCTCAGAACCCTTAGGGTTGAATGCCTAAACCCTAGGCCCTCGATCCTGAACCCTATTCCCCACTTAGCACCCTGAACCCGAAACCCTGAACCCTAAACCCTAAACCCTAAACCCTAAACCCTAAACCCTAAACCCTAAACCCTAAACCCTAAGCCGGCCCGTTGCAGGTCGTATCATGGCAAGAGTCCCTGAAGCCCTTCTTCCAGGGCCTCGGCCTGGATGCCTACACGGACCGCATCGCCGGGGGCCCCGGGCAGAAGTTTTTTCCATGCTTTCTGGACTTTACAGAGGGCTGAGGGTTTGGGGTTGGATTTCTCGGGTTTGGGGGGGGGGGGGGGGGGGGGGGGGGGGGGGTCGGTTGGGGAGGGTGGGGGTTTCGGATTTGAAGTGTTGCTTTTTTTTTGTCTGGGGGCGGGCGGGGGATGTTCAGGGGCGGGTTCGGGTGTTTCGAGAGTTGTGGGGGTTCGGATGGGGGGGGGGGGGGTTGGATGTCTAGATTTTTTCAGGTTAATTGTGCCTTTAAAAGGGCTGAGGAGGTCTCGTGTTTTTTTGTGATGCTGGTTGGGAGGGGGGTGGGAACTTCCGGGGCCCAAAGCTTTGTGCAATGCTTTCCCTGATATGAAACGCCCCGCCAGCCCCGCATGATGACATTGACTTGTTTAAATTGCAGTAAATGGTCGTAGAGGGAATATCTAGTTTTTGGGGCGGGGGGGCGGGGGGGGGGGGTGGGGCCACAACACCGACTCTCCATGAAACAGCCCCTATATTGCTTCGAAGGCGGTGAAGGCCAGCATCTTGACCATACTGCCATTACTGCACTCTTAGCACTTTGCTGTGGTGCTGGGCCCCGAGGACGCCAGCACGGGGAACATGGTCATCGCCTTCATGGCCCGGGCCCTCGCCTTCTGCAGGACCTGGACTCGTAATTGGGGGTTCAGGATTTATCGTATACTTGACCTCCTAGAAACGAGGGTTTGGGGTTTAGGGCCCCTTTATGGGCTTGCACAAAACGTGGGTCCAACAGGGCATCACCACCACGCATGAGCTCTGGCTGTTGACAAGAAGCCCCCCTTTTGTCACAACGTAGAGTCTTGCAGGAGTTTTTCTCTATTGCATGGGGACTATTCTCAGAATTTAGGGGTGTATGTGAGGCTAATCGCAGGGTGGAGAACAAGAAGACGAGAACGGAAGACTCGAACGGAAGCAAGTAAAGGCTAAGGCTTCTTCTGAAAGCCTGCTGTCATAACGGCCCTTGGATCTACCACGCAAAAGCAAAAGCGAACCTATAGTTTCCAGAGCTGCACTGACCATAGGGGCACCCAGGTGAACGAACTGCTGGAGGCGGTGCGCTTTCCGCCGGGCCCCAAAATGGAGATTTGGGTGTACGCTTGTGCCCTAGCCGGGCTGACCAGCATTGTTAAACTCTAAGCCCTAGAATCATGAGTGCAATGGGTAGTTACAAGTACTTTAAACTTTAAGTTTCAATATCTGCTTCAAAGCTCATGGATACGGATCGGATATCCGCCCAAATTTCCAAAAGCAACCCTATACTAGGCAGGAGATTGGGACATTTGTGTTTACCAAGAGGACCTTATGTGTGGTCATTTCCCAAAATTATGGCTCCTCTTTTTGTAGGGTTTAGGGTTTAGGGTTTAGGCTTAGGCTTTAGGCTTTAGGCTTTAGGCTTTAGGCTTTAGGCTTTAGGCTTTAGGCTTTAGGGTTTAGGGTTTAGGGTTTAGGGTTTAGGGTTTAGGGTTTAGGGTTTAGGCGGGCGGGGGGGGGGGCGCCGTATCACAGTGACCAAAGAAGTGACCCAAATTTGGAGAACCCCTCCCTAGAGCCGTGAGCACCTGTACCCCCCACCCTCCGCCCCCCAACCAGTCTCAGCTGCGGTTGCGTTTATGGGTTAAGTACGTTTTCGGGATGAAGGTTTCGGGGTTTGGGGTGCACAGGGGTCTCCCCGCAACTCTTAGCTCATAGACCTTGACCCTCAAAACCATAAACCCAAGACCCAAGACTCTCTCCCCCCCCCCCCAAAAAAGAAAACATAAAACAACGAACAGCAAAGAAGCACGGGGTAAGCCAGAAGCCCAGAAGCTCAGAGGCTGGTCCTGGCCACCTCAGCGCCCATCATCCGATGGTCCGCCCGCTTCCGGAAATCTCCGACCGCCGGCCCGGCACACTTTCTAGGGATAATGTACATAAATAAGTATAAATATAAGTATAGATAAATAAATATAAATTAATAAATATAAATATATATATATATATATGGTACCCCCCCCTCAAAACCTACCTTTTCATACCCTTTTCTATGTCGAGGCTTTATGTTTATGAAATTCGAAGCCGGATGTATATATATATATATACATCCGATACGAAATATTAAATACTTAGAGAATCCAATAAAAAATCTCCAGGGCCAGGAGTTTTAAAACTCTTCTTGTGGCTAAGCAAGGAGTTTTAAAACTCGTGGCCCCGAAGATTGAAGATTGAAGATTCCCCAGAACTCTTTCCAGGAATCTTCAATCTTCAATCTTAGGGGCAGGGGGTTTTAAAACTCCTCTTGTGGCTAAGCAAGGAGTTTTAAAACTCGTGGCCCCGAAGATTGAAGATTGAAGATTCTCCAGAACTCTTTCCAGGAATCTTCAATCTTCAATCTTCGTTGGCATGAGTTTTAAAACTCCTCTTGTGGCTAAGCAAGGAGTTTTAAAACTCCCGGCCCCGACTACTTGAGATTGAAGATTCCCACAAAGAGTCCTGAGACATCTTCAATCTTCAATCTTCGGTGGCAGGAGTTTTAAAACTCCTCTTGTGGCTAAGCAAGGAGTTTTAAAACGCCCGGTCCTGAAGATCTTTCTTATGGTTAAAAAATATCTTACAAAACTATAGGCCATGGTATTATATATTGAAGCACTGAAAGTGGTTCCATGATATGTGCACAATTTCGACGCGCAGCTTGGGCTATAAACGCGCAGTTTCCAGCCATAGCATACTCCTCATGTCGGCCGTCAACATGAAGGTTGCGTGCGCGTTTAGGTTAATTGTAATCCTATATGGGTTTTGGGGCTTCTCTAAGCCCGGGACCTTTAAATCTTAACCCTATAGGGTTTACAGGTTATGTGTTTCAACTTAATTGCAGGCTTAGGTTCAAAATCATATATCTTAAACCCTAAACCTTTAAACCTTAACCCTATAAAGTTTCCAGGTTGCAGGTTTCGTTTAATTACACGTCAAGGTTTAAATACATATATCTTAAATTCTAGACCTTGAACTAACGCTTAAAGTTTAAGGGTTTCGGTGTATTTGCAGGTCAAGATTTAAATGCCTATATCTTAAGCCCTAAACCTTTAAATCTTAATCCTACAGGGTTTAAAGGTTAAAGAATTGGGCTTATTTGTTTAATCCTATAGGGTTTCGGGGCTTTTCTTTAAAACTCTAAATCCTGGATCGATAGGGGTTTAGAGTGCCTATGTCTTAAACCCTATACCTTTAAACCTTAACCCTGCAAGGGTTAAAGGTTTCGTGTTTCCGTTGAATTGTAGGTCAAGGTTTACATGTCTGAAATTCAAATCCTAAACCTTTAAACCGTAACCCTATAGGGTGTTTAAAGATTAAGGGTTGAGGTTAAATTGCTTAACCCTATAGGCTTGGGGTTTTGGGGCTTCTCGTTAGAATCCTAAACCCTGGATCGATAGGGTTTTGGAGAATAAGCCCTGACAATACCCTTAAACAAACCCAGAACACGCAGTGGAGTGAAGTGGAGGGGAGTGGGGGGGTGTGGTGGGGAGTGTTTTTTTGGTCCTACTTATTTTGGAAGACCGACCCCTGGCGCCCTCTCCCCTTCTATTTAGAAGCAAATTAAGTCCTTATAAGCAAATTTGTTGCGTTGGAGATTGATTGAGTACACAGATTACGTACCAACTCATACATACATATAAAGCCAATACACAGTATGAAATATGCATGTGAGTATTGCAACACTACGACGACTTCAATCTTTAATTTGAGGGTCGATTCAAAACTGAATCGGCCGATTCAAATTTGAATCGGACATATTTCATCATTATAGGGGAGCCCGCTCTTTAGGACTTAGCGAGAAGGATTTAGGGAATAGGCGTTGAAGTGGGGAGCATCCCAAGCTTAGTCCCCAAATCCTATTTTCTAAGGGGGCGCAAATCTTATCGCTAAAGCTTTAGCGTTAGCGAGAAGATTTATTGAGCAAGGTTGGCTTTTGTATGAGTTAGGGGGGGTCTCATTTTTGGGGATTTAAGGCTACTTAAGATTCCCTCTTTAGGATTTGGTGACTCCCTCCCACCCCTCTTCCCCAATATGATTTAGGGAGTGAAATTAAGGGATAAGATTGAGGGATCCTTCTTTGTTGACTTTAGCGATAAGATCTACTGAGTAAGGTTCTTTGTTTTATGATGTAGACGGAGAGGCTCATCTTTAAGATTTAGAGTAAGGATCCCCCTCTTTAGGACACCCCTCTTTAGGGCTTAAGCAATAGGATTTAGAAAGTAAAACTAAGGAATGCTTTTTAGGGTTTAGGGGATCTCCTCTTTAGGGTTTAGCCCCCCTCCCCCGCCCCCCACCTTTAGGCCTTAGGGAGTTAATTTCAGGGAAAGGGATCCCGATAAGATTTTATCCGAGCATCTGTTTAATTGGTGGGACCCCCCACCGCAATAAGAAAGGCAGGGCACTGCAATAATGAGACCATGGCAATGTATGCATTCTCTATTAAGCACAATAGGAATGTATTGTAGTTTCGCCGATCCAGACTGCAGCTCAGCAATCAAAAACGAAGCCTGCAGACAGATTGTTGAATACCCCCGGAAAATATTCATTCACTGTGGCGGTATTTCCCCATACGGAAACCCCCGTAATGGAGGTAGTAATTCTCTTTTAGAATTCAGAGGCTCTCCTCTTCAGAATTTCAAGACTTCCCTCTTTAGGGCTTTGGGAAAAGACTTAGGGAGTAAAATCACGGGAATATGATTTAGGGATCCCACCCTTTAGGATTTAGCGAGAAGATTTAGTGAGCCATTTAGTGACCCACCCCCCCCCTCCCCCCCCGCCCCAGATTTAGGGACTGGGGGAATATGATTTAGGGAATACGATGTAGGAATCCCGTGCTTTCGGATTTAGCGAGCAGGATTTTGGGAAGAGGGTTTATGCAACAGAAAATTGTGTGAATAAGGTCAAAGGATTTAGGGAGTCGGTCTCATCTTTAAAGCGTTTTGATGTCACGCAAGTGTAGAAAATTAGAAAACGGTAGGTTTTGGAGGGGGGGGGGGGTAGGATAGCATATATATATATATATATATTTATTTATTTATTTATTTATGTTTATATGTATATTTGTAACTATAGTTATATTTGCATCTATAGTTACATTTTTATTTATATTTCTCTTTATATTTATATTTTATTTTTCTTTATTTATTTGTGTATTTATAGATATGCATATATATATATATACTCATGTGTTTATACATATATATATATATAGGTACATACCCGCCTGCGTGTGTGTGTGTTAACAGATACAGTGTTTACATGTTCATAGCTATCCTCATGGTTTGTAGATATATGTACATATATAATGGGTATATATATATATATATGCAGTTGACATACTTTTCTGTGTAATAGGGTTCGGGCGTTTATCTATCGTGGAAAAGATGCATAGGGATTACAGCATTACAATGGAGATACTGATAGTATTTGTTGCTTCGTAGTTTTATGTGAGTTCCTTTCTTGGGCTTCTTAAGATCTTTTTTTAAGGCATGGTTTTCAGCGCTTAAGACATGGGTTTTGCTTTGCCTATAGCTATCTCTCGGGGACAGTATGGCCTGTGGCTCAAAAACAAGATGCTAGCCATTTTCATGGTTTGGTTCCTCCTTTTTGTGGCGCTAGGCGGGGGGTGTGGAATTCAGGGTAATGGCCCTTGAAACCATGGAACACAAGAAGGGTTCCTTGGAGATTTTGCCATTTGGGTCCTGGATTGTGGGGCTTACTTGGAGCCTTCTGGGGTCGTGGTCGCTGGGCTTCGAGAAGTAGGGCGACTTTGACGATAATTGTTTACACTCTTTCAATCCTTCTAACCACACGTGATTAACACGTGAACCTTCAGCAAGACATTCCTGAACATTGAGACCGACCCCAAGCCTGCCCAAACCCTCAAAACACCCTCCTGAACCCGAAGCATGTAACTACCGAATAAATATCCCTAAACCCTAAACCCTAAACCCTTAGGGGTAGGGTTCCTGAAATGGCCAGGCTGCGAGTGCAGCTGCGGGTGCGGGCCCTTGGCTTCTTCATTGGACGAGACTGCTAACATACAAGTTTCCAGTTTAAGATCTAGGGGGTATACATATGTATGTATGTATATCTATATATATATATTTATTTATTTATTTATTTATTTAGTGGTATCGGGCGTGCCTCCCCGAGCTGTGACCCTTAGCACTATTAAATTATTCTGCCCAGAGACGGTCTTGTTCGTTGAGTTTCTGCTGTCACGGTACTTAAGGCCCATTCCTCAGTTGAGGAGTGTTGGGAGAGTAAGTCCTAAGCCCCCCCGAAACCTTTCTGGGAACCCGATCATGTGGGCGATGCCGAGGTGCCGGTCGGGCAGCGCCCTAGCGGCCTGGCGCCTTTCTTATGTGGGGGTTAGGGGCGTGAAGTTTTAAGGAAGGGTTTGGGGAGATAAGGGTGTAGGGCTTGGGTGACTCGTGACTAGGGCTCACGCAGGCTTTAGGAGTCGATCCTGCGAATGCTTTGATGGGAGGTTTTGGGATGTCGAACTTTCGAACTGTTGCAAACTGGGACTTGGCGTGGTCTGCATGTTACGTCAAAGGCTGTTGCTTCAACGCTTGCGCGGGGAGCTGTCCGGTGATCCCCTTTGCCCATTTTGGTTTTCAGACGATGGCTCTTGCAGGCCTTCCCTAAACCCTATAAAGCTTGTATCCCTGGGATCTTGTTCTTCACCTGTGCTGACCCTTGAGCCTAAAGAAGGAGCCCAATGCCCCTGCATGATCGAATAACCCTCAGTTCATGGTAGGATCCCTGTTGTGATTGAAGGTATGGTCCTTCATTAGCCAGCAACCGGGTTTGGGGGTTTACGGTTTAGGTTTTCGGTGTATGGTTTAAGGCTCCACGGCGCAATGCGGGCAAGGACTCTGCCGTAGGAACCCTGTGTGGGACACGAAGCCCGTAACCGCGAGACCTTGAAGTTCGCTCAGGCTCCGACAGTATTCTTGTGAGAGCGCTGAGCAGTAGCTTTCATCTGCAGCTTGCTACATCACACCCTTGCTAGGGCCCACAGTGGGAATGGGCTTTGGTTCTGCAAAACGAATGGGTACCCGTGTAATTGCCTTTGGGCCGGCTTACTGCGGCACTAGTTAAGCTTTGAACGTTCCTCAACCCCGACTTTCCCCTTAGAACTCCGTGCCAGTACGCGCTGCACGTCCCTAAGCCCCAACGCCGGCGCCATAGCCGGAAGAAGAAACCCTTGCTTAGGGTTCAGGGCTTCGGTTTTAGGGTTTAGGTTTTTGGCCCTACCTGAAGGTTCATGGGAAGGTACTTGTAGGCGACTATGGTTCCTCCACGCCAAGTCTACTCCACCGCCGTAATCTCCCTACTTCTCTCCACCGTAAGAGCTTCGAACCTCCAAACAGACCCTCAAGGTGTCGCAGGGGGATCTCCCCATCCCTTGTCACACCACTAAACCGTCAACCCTCAACCCTCAACCCTCAGCCCTAAACCCTAAACCCTAAACCCCAAGCCCTAAACCCTAAACCACTAGTCCATCTCTTTAACCTCCGCTGGCATCAGAAGATGGCCGGAGGATGCATGGAAAAGACTGATGCGCAGCTCTCTCAGCTAATATAGGGGTCGGAAGAATTTCTAGTAGTTTTGTTTATGGTCCCTTTGTAAACATACTATAATAACCCCCAAAACCTTGTTCTAAGCATTAAGGTGCCTATACTATCCCCCTTCAAGTCCCTGCTCGACTCAGACCCCCCAAACAAAGGGCTCGAAACTTAAAGAAGTGTCCTCATGTCAGGTAGGGCGCTTCGTGCTCATGTGCCCAACTGGGCGCCCCATACGAACACTCACCAATACGCATGAGGAGAAGGGACTCTACATACACTCACCACTAACGGTAATGTGTAGGCTTTCGAAGGCGCGAAGCGCTCTGAATATTGTAAAAGTAATGGATCAAATTATGTATGTATGTATATATATATATACATATACAGCTAAACATGTCTTTTCTGTTCAAGCATTTTCGAAGTATCTAGAAAATACGTATATGCATGTATATATATATATATATAGGTATAAATACACATACAAAATATGCATGTATGTATATAGTGTAAAAGAGCCACCCCCCCACCATCCCGTCCCTTCCAAGCCTCCAGCACACCCACCACCGCACCCGTCCCGGTTCCCACGACCTCCGGCATACAACCTGCAGTCTACAGACCTATGTGCACCGTGGGTTGGGATGTTCCCCCTTATACTAACAGTCCTTGATTTAGGGTTCTGGTACCCCCTATAGAAAAAGGGGGAACATCCCAAACTGTAGGGTTTAGGGAAAAGGGAAGGACGTCTCTGGAAGGCGTCGGCCCTTGCGGCGCTCCAGGAGGCGCAGGCGGCAGGCGCGCCGGCCGCACGGAGTGCTGCTCAACGACTCATTTTTTTGACCTTGTGTTCTGACCGATTGTGGTTTTGGGTTATTATGGGTTTTGAAAGTCTTTACCGCTTTAAGAGCGCAAAAAGAAGGTTTAAGCTTTTTTTGCGGAATGCAAGGGTTTAAGAGCTTTGGTCGTGTAGAAGGGCTTTGAGAACCAAAGCGCTTTGAGAGCTTGAAGGGCTTGGAAGGGTATTTTGAGCATTAAAAGCTGTTAAGAGTTGAGGGTTTAAAGCGCTTTGGTCTGAAGAGCGGTGTTAGCAGTCTAGGCTTTGGTGTTTAGTGAGTCAGGGAAATCCGCGGTTGTGGGGCTTAGGCGTGTAGGACTCATATGGGACTTGCAGCCATAGTGATAGCTGAACCCAAGATTCTTCAAGAAAAGAGAGACGAGGGGCTTCAACCGGGGCTTCGGGTTTGATGAGACGGTTTATGGCAACCAGCATGTAGGGGATTCGGGTTTATGTGCGACACGAACCTCTAGCACACTGCAACCTCGAGCCTACACCTGCGAAAACCTGGGAGACACCTCCCTACCACCCTTCCAGAAGCAGGCGACGCCGCCGCCCTGGCTGCAGCCATCCCCGTGGCAGAAGCCGCGCAGGCGGGGGAAGGGGGGGCGCAGACGGCGCAGGCGCCATAGAAAGGGAACACTTTTGGAGGCTCCAAGGGTTAGAGACAAGTAATTATGAGGTGTAAGCTGGGTTTCATGAGCCTCTGTAACTGTGCAAAATGCCAGTTCCTGAGGAGCCCGGGGAGCCCTCTGAGCCTTGAAGTTGAAGGACTCTTAGGGTTTAGGGTTTAGGGTTTAGGGTTTAGGGTTTAGGGCTCTTGCTGGCAGGGGTTTAGAAGGGATGTTCTACTATCCAGGTCACCCGTAACTGCGACGGAGGACTCATGACCACTTTCGGCTGCAGAAAGGTTACCGCGTGGACCACCAATCCTGTATAAAAGCCCCAAGACAGCCCGTAATCACTCCGGCCAGGTGGATGCCGACGAGCTTGCCAAAGCAAAGAAGGCCCGCCACACCCCCCCCCCCTTCTAAACCTTGAAGCCTAGACCCCTAGGCCCTTAACTCCTCAACCCTGAGCCTCAGAACCCTCCACCCTGAACCTTTGAATCCGCAGCCCAGGCTACAAGCAGCTCAAAGACTTTCAACTTTATGGCCCCTAGCATACGAAACTACCCTCAGGCCCTAAACCCACAGCTAACTGTACTTCAAACTTTGTCATGTTCTTGACAGAAGGAGCCTAAATTACCAGTGCAAAGCCTTTCTAACTCAGACATATCTACCCAAAAGTCTCATTCGTAGTACATTATTTATCGCACGACGAGAAACTGTGCAGAAATTTACTGAGCGTGCAAATCGTGTCACCTTCGATGTATCAGACTTCGGTCCCCCCGTGTTACCCACCCCCCCCCCACAAAATTCTCACTCTAGTCAAGCAGGCACCATTATGATCCCGTTCTCTTTTAAAGAAATACTAACCCACCCCAAATCTCATTCAAATGCCCCTTTGTCCCACATCAACCGGTTTTGGAACTTGTTTAGAATCGAAGTGTTGGGTAAAGCGGACAGAAGTCTGGTGCGTCGAAGGTTAGAATGTTTTTGACAGGTGAGTATGAAGGGATGTTATCGTAGTTAACCTGTATCATGCCCTAGGTATAGTCGCCCCCCTTCCCTGCCCGTCCCCCCCCCCACCCACCCCAAGAAACAACAATTTGGGACCCATATTGGGCTTCACTGTGGGGTACTGAGGGTTTTTTGCCCTCAGGAGGCGCAGGTTCGGTTGGATTCCCACGCGTGGCTTTGGAGTTTTCCAACTTCTTGTCCTTCGTGGCGGCTCAACTTGCCGACCTGAGTTGCCATAAGGTTTAGGGTTTAGGGTTTAGGGTACCCTCAACCTAAACAAGGCAAGGTTTAGTGTTTTTGGGGTCTTTTTTTTGGAGGGGGGGAGGGGGGGGGGTTTTGGGGCGTTCAAGGTTACACAAGGTTCCAGGTGTAAAACTCCTAAGGCCCTCTTCAAGCTGCAGAAAGAGAAGCGAGAGAAAGGCTGCTTGGATCCAGCGTGATGTTAGGTTTCAGGGTGTTACAGTAGGGCTTAGTAGTAGAGTAGGTAACCTTTAACCTTTTTGGGGTAATATATTCCCCTTACAATCCCAAAGGTTAACCTTTAAAACCCCTAGGTACTGGACAACTAAGAGGGTGTTAAGTGGGAATATTTGTTGACTGTCTCTTGTCAGGTTTAGGGATTAGGGTTCAGGAAGTAGGGCTTGGAAACCTTTCCAATCCGGTTTTAGGGTGTTGGCCGGTGTTAGGTTTCAGGTATGTCCTGGAGATCTTCTTTAAACCCTTGTTGGGCTTAAGAGACCTGTTTGAAAACTTGTTCACAGGGTTTCGAACGGCAACCTGGTCCAAATTGGGGGGTCCCATTTGGAGGTTCTGCTTTATGAAAAGTTCTATCTACATGTGGTATAAGAAGCCCTAGTCCAGAACAGCCTCCGAGTATGATAGCTTTGTAAAACAACATCTCAACAAACAGGAATCACTTGCTGCATGATCTCTCGCGCTGATTCTCTCTCGATTGAGAGTGGAGGTACCGTGGCAGGGACTGCCTTTTCAGGTTGCAAGTTGGGTGTATGTACCCCCCCAAATTAGGCAACAACCAGATACACCTAAAAATTGCCTGTGGGCCTCCCAAGTACTTCCTGGCTCGCGGCTAGATTTAGGCAAATGGGCTTTGGACTTCGCCGAGACTTCAGGCAAGCTCGAGAGGGCCAAGAGCACGGCGGCAGCGGAGCTCGCTGTCGCCGTGGCCGGCGACAGCGCCGAGGCGTTGCGGCAGGCTGGGCCTGAGAGGGTCTTAAGTGTTTAGGGTTTAGGGCCTAGGGAAGTCTAGAGTATGCAGGCTTCCCTTTTCAGTACGTGAAGTCTCATGGCCAGCTA